AATTTCTTCAATTCTAGGGATATCACAGTGTGTCTGCCTTCAAGTTTCTCCTTAAGCTTTGCTTCTTCTAGGTAATCTGTCCTGACTCAGGATGTGATAACAAGGGTGAGTGCACACTGTAAACATTCTCAAATGTATAAAACATAAAGTGATATTTTATTACTAATGTATCATTATCACTGATAAGAAAATGGAGTATTTGATTCTTTAGCCCTCTGAGAAACTGTGGTCCTTGTTTTCAGCAAATATTAAGATACTCCTCCAGAATAATAATTGGTTTAGTGTTCAAACTGCTGTCACATAAGACAAATAGTATCTCATCTTAATAATGCAACCCTTTTAAAATCCCAAAGCTAATCTCAGACAAAGTAAAGGTATATTAAAAAAGAGACCTCATTATAATGCTTGGATAATGTAAGGAAAAATAATAACAACTGGCTTGAACTGAAGCACTGCCGGTTATAAGTATGCCCTGCAGGCAGGCCTCTGTGAGGTACTGGGGCAAGTATCAGAAAATATGTTCCTGGGGTTAGTCTACTTTGTCAGTGTCTGGGTGTGACATTGAATGTGACTTAGGGCCTGGACCCTTAAACACAGTAAGGGTTCTGTATTATATAAATTATAACTATATCAGTCAAGCAAAGGAGTATAAGTTGTTACCTTTTTAAAAAGAAAAGACTAGATAAAAATGAGAAGTTCAGCTCTGGACAAATAAGACTTGGCACCCTCCCCAAAGTGTATTATTATTTTTATTCTGACAATTTACACTCCATGATACTCTTATACCATGGAAAGGCATGGGAAAGACCAGACATATTTAATAACCTAATAAACTAGCTGAAAAATAAAAAAGTTATTTGCTAGCTTTTTAAGAAATGGAGACTATATTTAATTAAATACATTTATTTTTTAATTCATTGAACCATTTTACCCCCTACATTTTTTTTATGTATATAACTAAACAACTAGATAAACATTTGGACAGAAAAACTTTTCTCCTAGAGATCAAGCACAACAACAAAAAAGTCCATGTAAAGTCAATATTTTAAGGAATTTAAGGTGGGATCTTTCAAATCTTGTCATTTGACATTAAACAATAAAATCTAAAGCCCATTTCAAAGATGTACTAAATTCCCAGTCTGAAAGTAACTGCTGTTCCCTGTCCCATGTATATATATCATCAGTACAACTAAGAAAGAATTGCAGCCAGGCCTGGACCACCGCCAAGCAATTGATTATTAACCATTAAAAGGGAAATGTTTACTTATTCACGGCAAGTAGTTTTCAGGAGGAAAGGCAAAGAGGTCTGATTTTAAATGCTGCCTTTTCTTTCCATCCTAAGGCCAATGAAGATCATTCACTTCTTCTTGGAAATGTCAAAAGCACATTTTTATTTTCCTTTTGCTATTTTAACCAGAATACTGATAAAAAGGGGAGAGCAGTTGCTGTGAGGCAAAGAAAAATGTCCTGGCAGTTGAGGGCCCTCCATCTATCAAGGGGAATTTGCAATGTTGCCTCTCTTCAAGACTGTATAGATTTGCAGGATTTTGTGAAACACTTAACCAAAATGGAAGGATTTAAAAGCAGAATGCGAGATACAGATGCAATCATTTTTAAAAAATCAAGATACTTTAGTTTTATTTCAGAATTTTCTAGTCTTAAATTCTCAAGCACGCAGCAGTGATGATTATCTTGGATAATACTTTTGAAAGGGTGATTAGTGCAGACTGCTTAAATATATTCACTATGGCACAGATGCCTTAAGATTAAAAACTCTTACTGGGATTGAGATGCACTACATCCAATTACAGGGAAACAAATACTTATCTAATTAAATAATAATATTCACAAGCTATGTTTCAAAATAAGTTCAAGTGTCCAGAGCACCAAACAATATTTTAAAACCTGGAAAGAATATCCAGTCAGATGTTCACCTGTGATTTGGAGGCAATTCATAGGCATATTTCTAATGTGTATAAAACTTAACATCTTGACGACCTTTTTTCTATTGACTCAATATCAAAATAATTTTCTCCTCCTATGTCTTTGAGCTTATTCAATGTGAAGAAGCAATTTTTAAAAAAGCACCTTTGTCTAATAATTCTGGCTCTCCTCCCTTCTTTCCTGCATTTCTTCAGAAGGCATGGTTTAAATGGAACTAGCTCCTGGAGTCCCCAGGCTCTGGCTCTTGGAGATAATTTAGGTACAGTCCCAGAGCAGAGTTGAGAGGAAGACTGGACGAGTGTAGAGTCCACGATGAAGCAGGGAGGTTGCAGTGCTTTCCAGAACCAGAAGGTACAGAGTTTCCCTGGGACATTCAAAACACAGACTGGGGCCCAGGAACACTGTTCCCAGATTGGGGAAGGTGAGGCCAGAAGTAATATTTGGAGCTAATGCCAGACACAGGTCCTTCCTAGAGCACAACTGCTAGATGGGGGATGCATCTCCTCTTTGGTAGCCAAATACTAAGAGTAAAAGCAAATATTTGATGCTGAAGAGCTCTGCAAATATTTGATGCTGAAGAACTGAAGAGTGCCATTTACTTATTTCTACACATCAGTGTGGGCTTAGGATGTTAAATAGATTAAAAGGCTAAGAGAGGTCAGTCATTCGAGGAAAGACACTTCTTTTGCTTCACCTGACTTGGTTCTCTTTCCAAAATTATCTACCCCTCACCAATCTTGTGGAGGGTCCTTCGGAAACTCAAAAGATGTCAGTCACATCCTCTTCTAGAACATTCTGGAGAGTGTGGAGCCAGAGTCCTGGGGATGAGAGGTCTAGAAGGGGAGGGAAGTGGGAGACCAAACTCTGCTGGTTAATACAATGAAGATGGTTTTAGAAAAATACCAGAGAGATGTAATCATAAAACTGGTAGGGTCCTTAGAAGTTAGTAAATCTATTCTCTTCTGTTTCAGATGAAAAAAAGAGCCCCAGAGTGATGAGGTGATTAGAGCTAGTTAGGGACCGAGTGGGGATGCCAAGTGACTCCCAGGCCAGAGCTCCTTCTAACCTGAGCCAGCCTCGAAGTTCAGTCCCGAATTTGGGAGTTTATCCTAATACTCGCCTAGGACAGTCTCTGTCGGTGCCTTCCTTCCACCTCTCTCAGGAGACGGGCTGGCAGAGGTTGCCAGGCATCGGGCACCATCCAGGGAGAAGTCCACGAGGCCCTGCGCCGGTCTGTGACCTGCCCAACCTCTAGGACGCTGGAGCTTGGGTGCTGGGCACTGTGGGCACCGGGCTTCTGGCTTCTGCCGTCCCCCATCTACCCCCTGCTCCCTCCTCCGCCCCATATCAGAGAGGACAACCAAGTCATTTCAATTTAATCTTCTTTAAAAAGACATAACTAATAAATCTATTCCCGAGACCGCGGAGAGACGGCCAGCAGAGTCGATCGTGCTCCCAATCCCATTGAACCCCATTGAAAACCATGACAACACAGGACAAGCTCCGATTTATTCCGGAGCGCTAAAGCGCATTGTGAGCAGGCGTCAATCACGCATTATTTCGCACTGAACAAATGCAAAATCTTGACTGGAACAAATGCTTCCAACAGGTCCGGGACGTCGAGCTCCATTTCCCCTTTGTCCGCGGCCTAGCAGTTGGCCCGTATTGGGGTTGCCTCCGCCCGACCACCCAGCGCGCAGCACAGCCCCGGGCGCCTCGGGCACGCTTGACAGGGAGGCTGCTGGGGAGGTGCGCCGGGTCGGGCGGGGCAGCAGCAACTGCACGGGAGCCAGGTCCGAGTTCAGCTCAGGTGGAGCCAGGATTGCAGGGGCGGCCACCCAAGTGACGCGGCCCTCACCGAAATTCAACAACCTACTACCCGAACCACTGGCTGCAGGAGGAGAGGCCTCTGGAAGCGCGCTCTCTCAGCCCTCGTCTGAGGCGTGGCCACCACGAAGCCACGGGCCAACAAAACGTATCCATGCCCTGACAGGCTCCTGGCACCTTCTACCCGTATCATTTCTTCGGGTGGGGAACTAGAAGATATCGGGAAACCCCGGGCAGGCAGTGTTTTCTGTCCGGCGGGCGCAGTCCTAATTCCCACAATCGGTCCCTTACCAGACCAGGCCGGGCAGCTTTGGCGGAGCAGAGAGCCCAAGTCACCCGAGGCCTGCATCTCCAGCCCCCAGCCTAACGCTGAGGCTACGGAACCCAGGCGCACAAGGGGCGCCAGGGGACCTGGCGACACCAAGGAGGCAGCGACGCCCTCGTAGGCCGCCCTTGGAAACGCCGCCGCCCATGGGGCCTAGAGGGGGGCCTGGCCCCGCAAAAGCCAGCCACCTGGCGGGAGGAGGAAAACGAGGCTAGTACTTGGGGAGAGAACAGTCTGGCCTAATTCCGCCTCCATTTTGCTGGTCTGGAGCAACCGACGCCGAGCTGGGGCCCCCCGGATGCTGCCAGCCCTTCCCCAGCACCCCTGAAGTTGTGGGAGATGTCTGGGGTGTGGGAGGTTGCTAGCGGCCTTCAAAACCCTCGGCACAGACGCCGGCGGGGCCAAGCCACTCTTCTGTGCCCGCCTGAAACTTCTCGCCTCTGAATCCTCAGACGGGCCCAACCAAAAAGAAAAAGAGAGCCCGCCAGAGTTTAACGCCGTCTTGTAAATCACTTTCCGGATAATTGCGGGAAACGAACGCTCCAGCAAACAAGCTCGAGGAATAAAGCAAACAGGGAATAAATTCCTGGGTGCTCATAAACCCACCCATGCCGCCCCCACCCTTCCCAGCGCCCCCGCGGGGCCAGGCCCGATGTCAGCCCTGGAGGAGGAGGAAGCTGGGACCGGCGGTCGGTGGCCACTGCTCGCCACCCAAGATGTTATTCTTTGGCAACAATCCCCATTATCTGTCCCCACTTTGGGCTAATCAGACAGAATCGCTAATGCGGAGGGCTGCTTCCTGCCGCCTCTGGGAGGTAACGGGGCGCCCGAGGGGCGGGGGACGGGGCGGGGCGGGGGGCGGAGGTGGCACCTTCCGGGCTCGCCGGGGCTTTGGTCCCGTACGCATTCAGGTACTTGACACTCGGGAGTCCCGGACCTCGCCCGGGTGGGAAGAGCTGTTTATATAAACAGGGATTCCACGGTAGATGCCTTAATATCTCGGCAGCCAGTGCATGGCGTGCGCCTCTCACGCCCACCCATAGGAGCGGCGTCCCCGGCCGCCCCTCGGTTCCCAGCCTGCCCTGCCCCCGCCTCCTTCCCCTCCTCGGCCATGGCTACCTCTGGACGCCTCGGCTTCACCGTGCGCAGTCTCCTGGACTTACCGGAGCAGGACGCGCAGCACCTACGGAGGCGGGAGCCCGAGCTACGCGCTCCCGGCCCCTACGCCACCTGGCTGGAATCGGAGCGCGGCCACTACCCCTGTGAGTGAGCGGTGGATGGCGGCAGGGGTGGAAGCGAGGGAAGTGGGGAGCGCAGAGCCAAGCCCCCGGCCCTCGCGGGGCTGGGAAGCGGAAACCCCAGCCCACGGTCTGGGTTTCCTCAGTGTCGGTCGGTCCCAGAGGCTCTGTCCTCTTCAAACCCCTATGCCAGTTGGCACATCTTGAGATCGGATCCCTGCGCCCGGGATTTGGGTTTCTGTTTCTAGGGGTCAGAATATTTAAATATTTAAGACACCGCCCTTAAGTGCCTGAAACAGTGGCCACGTTCTCCCGGCCTCGGTTTGGGATGGGCAGTACTGGCGAGCCTGGGTTCAGGGCTTTGTAAACCTCGGCAAACCGCAGTGCAGTCGACCTGGAAGTGGCCCGTTTTGGTGAGGCAGCTTGCAGTGAATTCGTCTGCCAGCGCAGCGACCAGGGCCGACTTGTTTTAACGCGGGGTGGGTTTCTTTGGGGGCGCGATTCCAGGTTGTGGTGTAAAAGGATATCGTATTCGGAGAGGTGGGTGTTCAGATATGGGCCCAGGGAAGGAAACGGCCTCATTCCACAAGCCGCGGACGAGTGGGTCGGCGCCCGCGCGCGAGAGGCGGCCGGCCCGCAGAGGGGCCGGCGTCTCACCAGGCCGTGTCTCCTTTGCGTCCCTAGCCTCGGACGAGAGCAGCCCAGAGGCCAGCCCGCGGGACTCGTCGCAGCGGCCGTCCGCTCGGCCTGCGTCTCCGGGCTCGGACGCCGAGAAGAGGAAGAAGCGGCGGGTGCTGTTCTCCAAGGCGCAGACGCTGGAGTTGGAGCGGCGCTTCCGGCAGCAGCGCTACCTGTCAGCGCCAGAGCGCGAGCAGCTGGCGCGCCTGCTGCGCCTCACGCCCACGCAGGTCAAAATCTGGTTCCAGAACCATCGCTACAAGCTGAAGCGCGCGCGCGCGCCGGGAGCCGCGGAGGCGCCCGGCTTGGCAGCGGCAGCCGAGGTTCGCGCCGCGCCCGGCCTGCTGCGCCGCGTGGTGGTGCCCGTGCTGGTGCGCGACGGGCAACCGTGCGGCGGCCGTGGCGAGGTGGGCACGGCCGCCGCCCGGGACAAGAGCGGCGCGACCCCGGCAGCCGCCTGCCCTCTGCCAGGCTACACGGCCTTCGGTCCCGGCTCGGCGTTCGGCCTCTTCCCCGCCTACCAGCACTTAGCGCCCCCCGCCCTGGTCTCCTGGGACTGGTGAGGCAGCCGCGGGGCGCGGGCACCTGGGGCTACGCCGGACTTGGGGTGCGCTCTGCGGCCGGAGCAGGGATAGAGCCAGAGACCTGGAGCGCGTCCCGGGCCCCTCCTCCTTCGACGCGGGGGTCCCCTGCCCCGCCCTCATCAGCCAGCGCACCCGGAACTCTCGCCAAGATACCCCCTCTCCTCTTCCCTCGACCGCCAGACCCAGAGCTAGATTTTATTGCTTGAGCCTTATTTGTACATTTTAAAATAGCTATTTGTATGGGGAGCGACGTATTTTAAAAGAAATAGAGTATTTTTCCTCTTTGTGGTGCGAGAATAAAATGTGTAGGGGTGGGTCCCCCTGTGTGCCTGCCGGGAACGTAGGTGGGAGCTGTGCTCTCCCGACCAGAGTTCGGGGCGCCGGCCCACTCCTTGACCGGCCAAGTTAAGGCCCACCCCGAGCTGGGCCGAAGGGCAGATCGCAGTCCCCACACGGCTTTAGGAAGATACTGGGGGAAGGGGGGAAGGGAAAGCAGAGGCACCCCTGGGGTACCTATTAGCGGGAGGTGGCTGTGCCCCCGAAGCGAGACGGAGGCCCCTCTGGGCTCCCGGAGCTGCTGGAGCTTCTAACACCAAAGGTCAACCGAGTCGGCCACGACGGGGCAGAACGACGAGAGGGCGCAATGAGCTTCTCCCTTAGGATTCTCCGGAGAAGTGCCAGCGGGGCCCGGGCTGAGCGTGCTGCGCCGGGGAGCAGCCCAGGCCTGACTGCTAGCCACTCGTTTCCGGAGTGTGGCAGTGAGGTCTCAGGGATCCGAGGAGTATGCGGGGATCTTGTAACCCCCAGTTGAGCCTGCGCGTGCCTCACTTGGCTGGCAGCTGTGATTTTCTGCCTCTTCTTGGTGTAACACCCGACCAGGGTGGGATGGGGAGTGGCTGACGTGGTGAAGAAATTAAAAGGTGTCGGGGAATGACCCAGTTCAGGGGCTGCCAGCGGAGGGAGGACAGCCCTGGGGGCCTGACATAGGTGTGAGATCCGCTGGTCGGGCTCATTTCACCCAGGGTCCCAGTGTACACCCGGGTGGGGGACCTAGTGTCCTACTCTTCGGGCTTGTAACTGCGCTTCGCTTGGGTATCCCCTCGGTATCAGTAGCCGCAGGGCCTCCCGTGCAGTGCAGTGGTCACTCTCTCAGAGAAGTGAGGACCTTCCTCTCTGCCAGCCACTGAAGGGAGAGTCGAGTGAAAAGAGCAGTCTTGGGTATCAGATCCAGGGGAGGGAGTAAGGGCTCGATGAGGTCTATGAGGAGTAGGCATTGGGTCTTTTTTTGGGCTTTTAGCTTTCTGGTCCCAGGAGGAAATGGAGGAGGAGGTAGGGGTTGGGTAGCTGAGGCAGTGTTATCACCTGGGATTTTGGGGGGGTGGAGAGAGAAAGGAGGGCAGAGGGGGAAGGGAGAGGGGTGTTTGGCTCTCAGCTGCTGGCCACCTTGCCTTCCATATGGATGCGGTTATCTTAGAAGAATCTCGATCCTTAAATCTCCTTTTGTCTTGGGAACTGAAAAGGGCATTGTCAGGCCTGAAAAGGACCTAGACAAAATCCGCACTGTTCCGATTCAGGACTCTGTTTAATCAGTCCCTGGTGACAATGTAGTGGGTGTTAGGGTGGACAATAGTATCTTTTTAAACCTTGTGGCCTTCAGGAAGACAAAGGGCTTGAATTTCATGGGCTTACAACTTCAATTAGAACAGTGCCAGTGTGCCTGGGAGATTATCAAATTTGTATCATAAAACCTCTTTCTAATAAATGATTGCTGGTGTGGGAGCCTGGAGGTTGTAAGACATATATTGGAAACTGCCCTGGGGACTTCCCAGTTAGCCCTGGCAGAACAGATGGGAAAGAAAAGGAGGGAAAGATTTCTGAAGAAGGCCAGGCTCAGAATGTGTCCCTGCCGTTAGCTGGCTGGGTGCTTGCCTCTTCCTTGCTCTCCCTCCTGAAGGGGTGTTCCTCCAAGAATGAAGGTAAAGATTTGTAGCTCGTTCTCTGCTATTGGTGGTGACAAAGACCTGAATATTATTGGAGAGAAAGTGCAAAATCACCACCTGTTCAGTTTCTGGCCTTTTCTTTCCTGGAGCTCCAGAGAAAGTAGGACTTGGGGTATGCAAAGCAGGGAGAGTCTATTAAATATGAGGCCCATAGGACTAAGGGATCTGGACTATGGAGAGACTCTTCCCAGGAGGCTCTTTGGGAGAGCATGTCCTCAACCAAATTCACCTAGAGGTCTAACCAATATGAAAGACCATTTTTTTGCTTTCCAGAGAGGTGGTCACAGCCATAGCAATCCAGCCTGTGTCCTGGGCAGGAGAAGGGCAGACATTTCTTATGGCATTAGCATCAGGATCCCTCATGTCTACACTGTTACCCACTTCCTTTTGCTCCTTTTCCTTTAAGCCCCTTCCTTTGGAGAGGAAAAGCCATAGGGGAGAGTTATTAATGTACTGCCATCACCACCCACCCGTTTTTGAGACTCAGGCTGTGATTTATCTTCTGTTCACACCTGTGATAAGCTGGAAATAATAAATGTCAATTTCCTTTCTGATGTAAAAGATCAGTTCCTCCAGGGCTCTGATGAGAGAAGCTAAACCCAAGGCCTCTCCCAGCAGCTGTGAGAACTGTTAGAATCTCCCTCCCCAGATGAGACTATTTCATACCTGTCACCCATCACCAATATCACAAGGCAGATTCACACTCAGCAAACTTTTATTGAAACATACTGTGTTCCAGGCATTGTCCTAGGCACTTTCACAGCTGATCTCGCAGAAACCTTATGCATGGCATATATAACACACCCATTTTGCAGATAAGAAACTGAGGCTCAATGTGTAGGAGTGACTTGTGCAAAGCAGTTGTAAACCTCACAGAATGTTATCGTTGTCCTCGACTGCCCACATTTAAGCCACCCTGTAAACTGCCATTAAAGCGGGCAATGGGAATCTTGATGTGGCGACAGCATGTATACTACCCAGCCATCATAAACTTGTCTTATGGATGGTCTGGAAGGATGGGAAAGCATGCTAAAAGTACCGTACATGGCTTAAGGCCACTCACAGAAACGGGATATCACAGTAGTTGCTAACATTATTGATGTTCCTGTGTATGAGGCAATATTCTAAATTTTTTAATTATATTAACTCATTCGATCTTCACAACAACCCCATGAGATGGTACTACTGTTACCACTTTACAGATGAGGAAACTGAAGGCCAGAGAGGTTATAAGTAGCTTGTCCAGGATCACACAGCTAGTAAGTGACAGAGAAGATCTGAACCCAAGCAGTCTAGCTCTAGATCTCATGCCTTTAACCACATGGTGGGAATTATTTCCCATTTTTTGTTTTATTTCTCCCAGTTGACAGTCTTGGTTACCTTACAGACACTTCTGTAAGAGACATGTTTGTTGTTTTGTTTTTGAGCAGTGTTATTAAAGGATTATATAAATTTAGATTTTTAAAAATATCTTCTGGGGACGTCCCTGGCGGTCCAGTGGTTAAAACTTCACCTTCCAATGCAGGGGGTGCAGGTTCAATCCCTGGTTGGGGAGCTAAGATCCCACATGCCTTGGGGCCAAAAAACCAAAACAGAAGCAATATTGTAACAAATTCAATAAAAACTTTAAAAATGGTCCACATCAAAAAAACATCTTAAAAAATATCTTCTGGATAAATTGACCCTTTATTCTTATGAAATATTTCCCTTTATTTCTAGGAATCCTTCCTAACTTTATGTTCATAGTGGTATAGATAGATACTCCAGCTTTCTTTTTTTTATATATATCTTTACTGGAGTATAATTGCTTTACAAGATTGTGTTAGTTTCTGCTGTACAACAAAGTGAATCAGCTATATGTATACATATATCCCCATATCTCCTCCCTCTTGAGCCACCCTCCCTATCCCACCCCTCTGTCAGAAAGCATCGAGCTGATCTCCTTGTGCTATGCAACAGCTTTCCACTATCCATCCATTTTACATTTGGTAGTGTATATATGTCAATGGTACTCTCTCACTTGGTCCCAGCTTCCCCTTCCCCCGCTGTGTCCTCAAGTCCATTGTCTACGTCTGTGTCTTTATTCCTGCCCTGCCACTAGGTTCATCAGTATTGTTTTTTTAGATTCCATATATGTGTGTTAGCATACGGTATTTGTTTTTCTTTTTCTGACTTACTTCACTCTGTATGGCAGAGTCTAGGTCCATCCACCTCATTACAAATAACTCAATTTCGTTCCTTTTTATGGCTAATATTCCATTGTATATATGTGCCACATCTTTATCCATTCACCTGTCGATGGACAGGTTGCTTTAGGTTGCTTTCATGTCCTGGCTATTGTAAATAGTGCTGCAGTGAACATTGTGGTACATGACTCTTTTTGAATTATGGTTTTCTCAGGGTATATGCCCAGTAGTGGGATTGCTGGGTCATACGGTAGTTCTCTTCTTAGTTTTTTAAGGAACCTCCATACTGTTCTCCATAGTGGCTGTATCAATTTACATTCCCACCAGCAGTGCAAGAGTGTTCCCTTTTCTCCACACCCTCTCCAGCATTTATCATTTGTAGATATTTTGATGATGGCCATTCTGACCAGTGTGAGATGATATCTCATTGTAGTTTTGATTTGCGTTTCTCTAATGATTAGTGATGTTGAGCATCTTTTCACGTGTTTGTTGGCAGAGAGACATGTTTTTAGCATCTTTGTGTCTCTCGGTCTGTCTCTGCCCTTCTCTCCTCCCTCCCTCCTTCTCCATCTACCTACCATACCTCCAGCTTTGGGACACAGCCTCTGTGTTTCCCCTATGTCTGTTTGTGTGCATTCTTGTTCAGCTCTCAATGAAACACACCTCTGCAGGTCACAGTATTTTCCTGTGACTATCATCATTCCACCATTCTTCTTCCAGAAAAGCATCTGCTGCCACTTCGTTGACACCGATTGTCCACTGAGCGTTTGGTTGCTGCTGACTCTGATAACCTCTTCTAAGCTTTCCCAACCCCCAGGCCCAGATCCCTGGGGAACTTTATGACTTTGGCTTCCCTAGCCCTTTCCCCGGTCATCTTTATCCTTCCTACGTCTCTAGTGTTATCTTTATTATTAAATATCATCCTCTTCATATTTTCTCTCTCTTCTTCTCTTGTAAACATTTTTACTTCATCTCACTTAAGTCTCTTGTGGTTGGAGATAGCAATTTTCACTTC